ATGCAGCCCATGAATTTGGACATGTCCAGAGTATAATCGCAGCCTTTGCGGTTAGAAAATTGCACTTGATCATGTCGCGATATTATCGCAAATGCGATATATCGTTCAGCCCTATTAGACATGCACGGCCTCCTTTATTCCTCTCTCAAACCATCTGTCTTCCTAGTCAAGACTGTCCTTACTCTTTAAGAAGAGGGTGCTCAATCACTGAAAACCTAGAAAGACACACTGCACTAAGAGCTAAATCTTCTAACCAGCTCTCACACAGTCACACAGTGAGAAGAATAAGGAAGGTCAGGGCTTTGTGGAAAAGGAAAAGTTAATGTTAGCACACTGGAATTCTGAAATACTGAGAAAAGAATTATCACTCAACATGTAAAAATTAACATGATTGTTGACTTAAAGAGCAAAACACTGTAAACCTTCATTATTATTTGTAAAAATATTGATGTTTTGTTCCTCACCATTCCTTTTTCTGTTGCACATGAAGCATCCTGCGATGGTCAATCCCAGTGAGAGAAGTCCTCCGATAATTTGCAAAATTGATTTTACACGATTGAAAGTTATTCCATGATCCCAATGGGAAACTGGAAAAGTAATGACAGAACATTGAACATTTTGGTTTACATTATTTGAACTTTGAAAACAATATTTAGTGGTTCTGAAAGTATTTAAATGGGCGAAAGTTCACTGAACACTGTTCTGTAAAGTAAATTATAAAAATACATGAATCACAATATTTCCATGTTACTTTGTAGAGAAGACACTGTTGACAGTATAGTTGACACTGTAATGTGTTGAGTGCTTGAGTGAATGTGCATATTTGCTGCAGATTGCAGAAAATTAAAGCCCTTTAGAAAAATAAAATATGTAACCACCATCTCACAATTAATAGAGTATAGTAGCTCTATTCACTACATATAATCTCTGAATAATTCATCTCAGTTGTTGTATTCACTAGAAATGTATTTCTAAGTAAATATCAAGTGATTTCCAATGTAAAGTAAATTGGCTTACTTTACCAATTTACAATGAAATTAATGTACTATATCCACATAAATACAAAAACTATAAAAATAACTGTACTGCAAACAACAGAATCTTGCACCTTGCACTTGAATTTGATGAATTACAAACCAATTAAAGTATGTTTAAGATGAAAGAACGCAAAATGAATATATAGAAAATATAACATTATACCCTTAAAAAGTAAATACTGCCCTGAGAGTTAGCTGTGTTGGCTGAGGTTTGGGTTCTCAGAGTGCTTCTTGGTATTTGTATTGCAAGCAGCTATACAAGAGTCCAAGCAACCTGACCCATGATCAATGTGTATATTTAAATTAAATTAGGAAATCAGAGTACTTCTGGTTCAAACTAATCAAGGCCTGTATTTGTATAGCGCTTTACTAGTCCCTAAGGACCCCAAAGCACTTTACACATCCAGTCATCCACACACTGGTGATGGTAAGCTACATTGTAGCCACAGCCACCCTGGGGCGCACTAACAGAGGAGAGGCTGCCGGACACTGGTGACACAGGGCCCTCTGACCACCACCAGTAGGCACCGGGTGAAGTGTCTTGCCCTGAGACTGTTGGAGCCGGGCCTCAAACCGGCAGCCTTCTGATTACAAGGCAACCTCCCAACTCTTGAGCCACAATCGCCCAGTCATGTTCCTACAGTATGTACTCAGGGGCTTTGGCCCAGGTCAGGGCCAGATGCATCGCTAATACAAAGCTAATGGAAAATACAAAACTAGAAAGCACCTGGAACCCAAAACCTCAATATCCAGGGGTGATGACAGTTTACATTTGCTAGTAAACAGTTAGCTAATGTAGTTCATGAGAATGTGTTCATTTCACTTTCTAGTTTTGAGTAGAGTTAATTGGTTGATTATGTGTCTTTTTATGTGTTTGTGTGTCTGTATGTTATGTTCAAATACTTGTACAACATTTGTAATAACACTTGGAGAGACCTGACCTAAAGAAAACCCAACTTGACTGCACTCGCTCTCTTTGCAAGTCCTGTTTATGATTCTGTTCAATCCCATAGCTGCTGAACTGTCACCTGATCACTACCTGGTGTTGATCTGGATCAGTTAGCAGGGAAGGATGTTGGATGGGCCTGACAGTTGAAATAAATATCTTCTAAACACATATGTTACATTGTATATCTGCAACTTATCAATATTCACAAAACATAAATGTTCTATTTATGTTTACATTTAAAATTCGCTCACTGTGTCTTGCAGGTCCATATTTCTGTGGTGAAAATAGAGCAGTGAGCTTAATTATATTTCCTGCACAGTAGTTTGGTGGCGCACCCAGAATTTCATTGTATATATCCAATGACAATAAAGGGCTAAATAAGTAAGTAAGTAATTATAATAAACTGTACTTATAATAAATTGCCTATGACTGACCTGTCTACTATTCTGTCACTGCTGGTCATGCTTCAAATCCCCATTGTTGTTAAAAAAAATAAATAAGCAGGCAATGTTGTCCTGTCTCAGTTTCCATGGAGTTTAGTTTTTTTTAAATATGCAATTAAAGTAAATAACTGTGTGTTTGTGATTGTGGAAACATAGCCTGAACGCGAAGATAGCAACATAAGAAAATGAAATAAATAAATAAATAAAACCCTCAGATGATGACTGAACAAAAATGTTGTTTTTTTTTATGAGACAGGCAAATAAAATCCATCTGCTCTCAATCTTACCCTTATTGGTCCAGATCACTGCTTTGTCCAGTTTGGTGACGATATCCTGGTTCACATCAGAGAACTGAAACACACAGGCATATCTTTCCCAGTCTTCAGGTCTGACTGATGAAATTTCCAGGTCAACACTCATTTGGAAGGTCCAATCATTGTTGGGGATGATCTCTCCTCTGTTCACGCCCTCATGAATCTCCGCTCCATCTTTCCTCCAGACCATGTTCACTTTGTTAGGATTGAAACCTGTAGCGTGGCAGGTGACTGGAGAGGAAGGAGTCTTCTGGAGGAGATAAAATGAGGGAAGAACTGGAGAGGAAGACATTAAGAAGATTAGTCAGTGTATCGATATAGTTCAAATCTTTATATGTTAAAATCAAGTAATGCATGTCTACCTGGTTTTACCAGGAGTGTCCTCCCATAGTTCAAAAAGTTCTTCAGCATTTCAGGACAGATTGTGATGAGATTATTCCTTTCTCTATATAATGCCTCTCTGTTGTTGTCCCATTTTTGTTTGAAGATCACAGCCTGTGGATTTGTAGGAATCCAGGTATCCGTCTTTAAATCAAATGTAATGAAGTCTTCTCCATCATAACCAAACTGATTAAAACCATTCACCTCACCGGTCTCATCATCCCATTCACAGCCAGACATCCTCTGAAATGTGTGAACACCTGAGAGAAAAAAAGTGAAAGAAAGTGATAAAACAAAAAACAAAAAGGAAATATGATCCATTAATCAGTACATCATAAACTCCGAAGTCACAAGGTACACCAGTACACCACACTAAAGCTGTGTACTGTGTTTCTTCTATATGGATCATGCTGACATGTCTAAAGAGATGCTATGTTTTGTAGACTGACATCAAAAACATTTTTTTTCCTAAAAAGGACATTACCGATTTAGGCCATAAATTGAGATTAAAGACGATGAAGGTTATATTTCATATACCTTACACAAACTACTGGTGAATGGGTTATTACTGTAAAGATGCCAAATCCATGAAGTAAAAGTAAAAATGTACCTTTTGTGTGGTTAAAGCTTTTCATTAGCGCTTCAATGTTGAGACTTAACAAGCTTTGACTCTCACGACATTCATTTGTGAACCAGTATGTTGGATGATACTGTATTACTTCCTTCACCCAGTCCTGTCTGGTTTCAGCTGTCATGCTGTTCTTGCTGCAGTAAATCACCTCAAATCCATTGACCACTGCAACTCCAACAAACTCCATCCATTTTTCTTCTCCCAAAAATCCAGTGAAGAGAAGTCTTAAACTGTGAGTCACTGTAGAGCAAATAGGTTAAGTTACATTCTTCTTACAATAAATAAAATAATTAATATTAATTAATACTTAATAGGACACATAACAACATCAAGGACCACACCCACCCACACCACACACTGTTCACACTCCTCACACTCTCAGACAGGAGTGTGAAAGTTATGACAACCAGACTCAGAATACTGAATCAATGACTAATTGTTTAACTGTGATTGTTCTTGGCCTGTCATTTGCAATTTTGAACATTTATATACAATATAATACAACTTCATACAATGCAAACAATTCTAATATTGCATATTGTGAATATATTACCACTTTGACAGTTTCACACTTTAAATTCTCACTACACCCACACATAAGCTACGCTACAAGTGCTACATAAGCGCTTTTTCTTTTACTTTATTTATTATTTTCTTTGGTTAGAGTTCAGTTTGTTCTTTATGTTAGTTAGTTGTTTATTTAGCTGTGTGAAGGGAACTTTCATGCTCTGCGTAACCACTTATGTTTTGTGGCGCATATAACAATAAACTTCTTGAATCTTGAATAAAAAACCCAAAACAGAAAGTCGAACTTGAAATACAAACTAATGATTAAAAAATGCCAATGTCACAAAAATCCACAGACCATTTTTAGAAGTTCAGAGTGAAAACTCTAATGAATAACTTTACTGTTTTTTAAAATATAATTTTAAGTACACAATATTTTTAATTATTATTTTTTCTGTTTTTAGTTAGCTATAGTTTTTTTTATTGTAATTAACTGTAATATTCTTTCTTTGCACACATAGAATCACTTAAACTAAAAACAAAAATGTTCTAAATATTTTCTTCTTTTTTTTTATGCTGTTTTTATGAGGGTCAATTTGGAGCCACAAAACCTTTGAATTTTTTTTTTTTTT